ATTGTGCTGCTATAAACATCGATGTGGCTGTGTCCTTCTGGCATGCTGTTTTTAAGTCCTTTGGGTGTAAAGCGGGGAGTGTTATAGCTGGGTCAAATGGTGGTTCCATTCCCAGTTTTCCAAGGAATCTTCATACTGCTTTCCAGATTGGTTGCACCAATTTTCAGTCCCACCAGCAATGTGTGAGTGTGCCTTTTCCCCATATCCTCACCAACACTTATTATTGTTTGTATTCTTAATAGTTGCCATTCTAACTGGAGTGAGATGAAATCTTAGAATAGTTTCAATTTGCATTTATCTAATTGCTAGAGATGTTGAAGAGCTTTTCATATATTTGTTGATTGATCGTATATCTTCTTCTGAGAAGTGTCCCAACAGTTCTTTTTATGGATATTTTATTTGAGAGTTCCCAGGCAACCTCAGGTGCCCACTACCCTCAAGCAAATCTGTTTGCCCAGTGATCTCCCCCAGAGGTTCATCTATTCCTCCTGTGTTAAGTCAATTTTTCTTCACTGTGCCCAAAATACCAGACAAGAACAACTTAGAGGAGGAAAAGTTTATTTTGAATTATGGTCCCAAAGGTTCCATCTACAGTGGGCAGACTCCATTGCTGTGGATCCAAGATGAGGCAGAACATCATGGCAGATGGGCACGACAGAGGAGTACTACGCTATTAGCAATGGCCAGGATCAGAGAGAAAAAGGGGAAGGGGCTACAGGGAAGATGAAGGTTTTGGGGGCACATCCCCAGTAACCCACCTCCTCCAGTCACATCCCACCTGCCTACCATTACCACCCAATTAGTCCATTCAGACTAGGATGGGCTGATAGGTCACAGCTCTCACGATCCAATTATTTCACCTCTGAACCTTCCTGCATTAACACAGGAGCTTATGGAGGACACTTCATATCTAATCTAAAACACTGCCCCTTCTTGCTGTTATCAGAATTTGTGTCCTGGACTCATTTTGTTTTTATTTGTCTCCTTCTTAGGTACCAAAGACCAAACTGATTTATTGGGACAGAGTACTGGTATTTTCAGGAAGGAGAAGCACATTTAGGGACCACTCACACCACTCCCTTTATCCAGCTTGATCAAGCTTTTCCCAGCCCCTGTGTAATGCTATGAGAACCTAAGAGAGAAGCATGTGCTAACCAAGAGTTCATGGGGCATCACTTATAAACTTACTAGTTTAAGACTATCTTCATAGATCTAAAATTGTTGAATAGGACTGAGTTACTCCAGATCTAGATGAGGCACTAATAAGACCCAAATTACTCTTTGAAAAGCTTGTTTTTCCTATCCCAAATCCCTTCCAACACTCACACACTCACACACACACACACACACACACACACCCCAAAATTCCTCATGGGCTACCCAGCCTAGTAACTTATATGTGCTTTTTAAAGTAAAGTATATGTACTTTTTAATACCACTTATAACTAGGTTAGTAACCTATTTCTGCTACAAGTTAACTAGTTGGCTTTGGGCAACAAGTTTCCATATCTGTAAGACCAAGGTAAAAATAATACCCATCCCATTGGGCTTTATGCACATGAGTTGTAATAACTCAGGTGAAACCCTCAGCACAGTATCTGGCCCTTGTAAAGCCTCAAAAAATGTTAGCTACAGTATTGTCACTTCCTGATTTTAATAGCTACACTTATATATCCAGTCCCCCCAGTGCCAAGCACTGGTCGAAGGGTTTTACATATGTTTAGTTTTCACAGCCATCCCATGATAGAGGTACTATTGTCCATATTTGAAAGATCAACAAATGAAAACAGAGAGATGTTAAGTGATTTTGCCAGGGTAGCACAGCAAGTGGCAGAGCTATAACTCAAACCCAAGTAGCCTAGCCACTGGGGCTGCACTTTTCACCACAACCACCAAATTCAGCCACACTTGTTAGGAGCTCTAGAAAGCACAACAAGGCAGACCCTTTATTACAGCAAGAGAATTTGTGTTGCTGTTTGGAGCAGAGAGAAGCAAAAAGACCCTAAAAAAAAAAAAAAAAAAAAAAAGGTAAGAAGCAATCCAAGTACACAAAGACTTCCATTAGAACAGAAACTTCACACACCCAGCTGGAAGCCAGTGGTTCTGAAATCCACACATTTAGGTACACATCTGAGTAATGTTAGAAAGGGAGACTTATAGGGAGGATGTTCCCCATCAAGAACGAACAAATTCACCATGAAGTTAGAGACTAAGAGATATCTGGGGCGGGGAGTGCTAATGAAAGAGGGGTGGTTCACGAGAACAAAAAGGAAACCAAAGGAGAAGGGAACAGAGTGATAGTCCCAGAATCGTAATTCAAATGCAGCCCAGGAGCTGGCAGTTTATGGGGACAGCGTGCCCAATAACCCGCACAATGCACAGTGCTCTCAGAGCTTGTTTGATGTTGAAATGCTTTCTTGAATGAGATTCACAAAAGGAGTGATTGTTGTGTGACATGCCTTCAAGTTTATTAGGCCACAGTGACCGGTGTGAGTCGCTGTGTGCACACAGGGCTGCCTTAGCGTCTACTGCCACGTGTGCATCTTGTCTCTCCAGTCTGACGGCTGCTGTGCCTCACATTCAATGCACAGTCATTTGATGTTGGGGGAGGAAAGTGGGAAAGGACAGGAAGAGAAAACCTTATGGAGATTTGCCTAAAACATTTTTTTTCAATAACTCTGAAGAAAATGTTCCAATTTATGATTCTTTTAAAAAGCATCTAGTCTCAATAAAATCTCTTTAATGATGCATCACAAAAGCAGAGCACCCTTGAGAGGTGCACTCTGGGATTTTCAGGACGACATCTGGACTGCTCCATATTTATCCTGTAGCTCCGAAGGCCTGAGCCATTAGCTATTGCAGCCAACTTTCCTAGCCAGGATAGACAAAACCATACCCAGGGTCCAGGGAGTCAGCAAAAGCTCCCCTGGGGTGTTTGCCTGCAGTTTCTCTCTGTGAGTTTACCTGTTTCCATGGGTTAGAAATGCTTTGGTGGGAAGAACTATTATTGTCAGTAGCTGGCTACATAATACACAGAAGCATTATTTTTGTGCAAATTGCACCTGTAAATTCTACCAACAAATTCTGAACACCTATATCCAATTAAGAGTAGGAAGGAAGGAAGGAATTTTCACTTTATCTTGTTTTTCTTGCCCTTTTCACTTGAGAGGAAAATTATAAATTATAAATCAGGAAAACGGATTCTCACTAGTTGTGAGATGTAAGCTAACCCTCCACTCTATATCACCGCCAGTGTGAGATCTAGAAACTCTTAATTGGGCTGAATTGAGGCTTCAGAGGAACTGCATGAGATCCTCATGAAATGACCTCAATGCTTCTAGAGCTGCTTCCCTGGTGATCTTAGACCTGGGAGGGACTATATACCTCCCTGCAGATCCAGCTGCTCCAAAGCTCCTCCATCAGCTCAAGACCAAGTCACTGCCCTCCCCACCACTTTCTGGGAGTTGATTTCCTAAAGGACTCCTTTGACCATACAGATAAGATCTCATTTAAATTCAGGCACATACACCCACAGGCTGATTGACAGAGACACACCATGAATTGAATGATAAATAATACATGCAGACAAAGACAACACCAGCACTTATTTGTAGATGAAAGAACACTAGAAATTATTTCTGATGGGAATATAAAAGATTAAATTCAAGCAGGGAGTGGGGGAGGAAGTTTCTTCTTAAGATTCCTTAAGAAACAACTTCATTGTTTCACTTTCAAAAAGACACTTTCTGTCCTGAGTTAGGAATTCAGTGGGCACTAGGAACTCCAGACCCAATGGGAGATGCTAGTTCACCAAGGATAGAACTCAAGGGAGCAGAAACATAGCTCAAGTTTGAGAGAGAGTCACCTGGTCATGGGTTAGCCTAGCATCCATCTCCCTTTGGTAATTTTCTGTTGGAGATCTATTCTTTTTCCACTTTCACTCCATAGAGTCAATCTACCATTCCACATGGAATATCAGTGGAGAACATCAGCTCTCAGGTGGCATGGGAGAGCCAGATGCGGTGGTGCATGCCTGTACTCCCAGCAGCTTGGAAGGCTGAGACAGGAGAATTGCAAGTTCAAGACCAGCTTGAGCAACTTAGCAAGACCCTAAGCAACTTAGTGAGACCCTAAACAACCTAGCAAAACCCTGTCTCTAAATAAAAAAATAAAAAGGACTGGGGATGTGGCTCCATGGTAAAGCACCCCAGGGTTCCAACTCCCCAAAAGAACAACAACTGCAAAAACCAGCGTGTGGCTTGGGAGAGGCCTGCCTGAGAACCAAAGAAAACCAAGCTGAGAAATGGAGAGCCACAGATTCTAGGTAGTGTAGTATATGCACCTGAATCCAACCATTCCTGAAGCTAGACTGCCCAGACATTTTAGTTACATGAACCAAAGAATTAACTCATTTTGTTGGTTAAATCAGTTTCAACTCATTTTCTGTCACTTCTAATCAAGCCTTCAGCAAGGTAGACTGGTGGCTCTCACTCAGATAGTTTGGGTGGCATTGCTGTCTGGTAGAAACAGACCTGAGTTTGAATTTATGCAGAAAGAAAGAGGGAGATTATGACCCTACGCCTTGAAGGGTCAGAGAGCTCAGAGGAGCAACTGCTTGGCATCTAGGTCTCATCTTCACCTTGGGATAATAAAGCTCTCAAGAGGACCTGAATGAGAACTTGTATTGACAAAACAGAGAGTTTGGGAACCCCCAGCTGAGGATTACTCATAGAGCCCCTATCTTAAATGTTGACAGTTTAAAGAAGTAAATGTGCATAAGTAGTGTGATATACATACACATATATAGATAACATCCATGAACTCTGTGTAATTACAAGGGCAATCTTGGTGGGCATTTGTGAGAAGATTTATCCCACCAATAGTCAAAACCTACCTTAGAAAATCCAGGTTTATCAATTGATAGATTAGGGTGTGGTTACTTATGTGTTAAGTATTCCATAGCATGTCCATAAAGAATTACATGACAGACAGGGTCTCACCTGAGACTGGGGAAACAATCCTCAGAAAGCAAGCGCCATGGCCTGTGTGACACGTTAGAAGATGTTTACTACAACATGGAAAATGCAGTTTAAAACCTGCAAATTAAAACAAAAACAAGAATCAAATCCAGACCACAAATGTTAAAAGGTTGTACAACTCGGGAAATGAGTGAATGAGAAAGATGTTATAAACTGCTCCCTGCAGGAAAGCTAAGTGTCCAGGAAGGAGATGGAACCCCAACTAACCTGAACGGCCAAAAATTTGGTAATCTTCTAGCTCGGTGTTTAGAAAAATTCCCATCTGATGGTGGAGGAATTCTGGTCTGGAGGGATGGGCTTGTGCAATTCCCCAATCCTCATACAGATGGTCTGGAAGTCACGCTTCACAAATGAGCTATTCTCCCCATTTCTGTCCATAGATGCAGCTTCCAATTGGGCCGTCTTTGACTCCTTATGGCACAACCAGTCCACCTAATCCTTTTTTATTTACCTTAAAAATATATAGACTATTGCTCATTCTCATATTCTGGTCTTGATACCATCAGCCTTCCTATGGACTGCGGTATTTCCTGCCTCCACCCTAGCCTTCCTGTAGCCTTTTCTATAGACCATCTGAATAAGCCTTTAAAAATATGTATTAGCCAGGTATGGTGGTGCACCTGAATCCAGCCTACACCTGTAATCCCAGCAGCTTGGGAGGCTGAGGCAGGAGGATCACAAGTTCAAAGCCAGCCTCAGCAATTTAGCCAGGCTATAAGCAAACTAGTGAGACCCTGTCTCAAAATTTAAAAATTTTAAAAAGGGTTGGGATGTGACTCAGTGGTTAAACACCCTTGGGTTCAATCCTTGGTACAAAAAACAATAATAATAATAAATCAGATCATGTTGCTTCTCAGCTCAAAAACTCTCCATCTCCCTCAGGCAAAGCCATAGTCCTGCAGTGGCCTAAGGGCCCTCTGCCCTCTCTACCCGCCAGACCCACTCTCCCATCATTTTCTAATCTCATCTACTCCTAATCCCTGCCCCCTCTCTCTGCCAGCCTTATGCGTACCTTGGTCTTCCTGGAAATTCATGATGAACTTTGAAAACACCAGCCCAGAACCCCTCCAAGACCTGTTCACATACCTATCCCTTTCCTGGAACATTCTTCCCTGGAATACTTGCAGGCTAGAGCCTCACATCAACGAAGCCTTCTCTGACTTCACTATTTATGATCACAAACTCCTACCTCCCACCAACCCTCCAGTCCCCTTTCCTGCTCTATATCATCTATCACTATCACCCATATGTGTGAGCAAAGGTGCTAAAGCCTATTCCAAGCAGTGGCAAGATTTTAAAGAACTTATTGATATAGATACCAGAAGAAAGATGAGAGTGGATTCAAACAGCATCCCATAAACAGATTTAGATAGTCAGTGTAGGAAAAGAATGTTGAAATAAGATTTGCTAAATTAGATGCAAGAGGAGCTAATGATCTAGGGCAATTCAACCCTGACCCTTAAATTATCTTTACAAGGAGCACCCCCGGGGGGGGGGGATGGGGCATTGTTAAATCATTTCATTTTTCTGAGGGTTAATCTCCAGATTTATAAACTGAGGAAACATCTGGACCCTTGTTACTTAAAGTTAGATCCCTCTGAGACTCAGAGGACAGTCAGGGACTTTTTATAAACTGCTCCATCATCCAACTATTAAAGCAGTCATCATTTAGGTTTATATCTGAGTAAAGGAAAAATTATTAGTTTATACCTATTATCTATTTTGCTTATTTATTTCTTTATTCTTAATTGCCTGTCTTACACCACTAGAATGCAAGATCTGTGAAGCAGGGATTATTGTTTGTTTTGTTCATTGTTATGTGGCCAGTGCTTAGAATAATGCCTGACCCACAGAAGGTACCTTAAATAAGGTGTAACTGAGTGAATGAATTGCCGAATTTGTTCTTAAAAATGCTACCATATGGCTATTGCTAATAGTCAAGGGTGTTTTTTTGACTTTCTCTTTTAATCTCCTAGAGCTCAGTCTCTTGTGGATAGTAGGCCTCATGGGTCAGCAGTTTGGGGCACTTAATTATCACTGAGAAACTCTTGTAAAGTCTGGATTTACAGTCAGATGCATGTTTTTCCTACAGTCTGACCCTGGCCCAAAGCTGGGTGAAGTTGAGTCAGGGGAAGTATTTTGGATTGGGTGTTTGGCTTGATCATTTTGGATTGACCAATCATCCTTGTTGTTTGTTTTGGAAATCTCATGCTTTTGAACCTTTGGGTGGAGAACAATCATTACTACTCCTGTATTTTATTCAACATGGAACAGAGGTTGATGGGATTTTTTAAAATGAGATTTTATTTTTCTTGGATCACTCCTGGAGCGTCCATGTCCAACCAGAATGCACCTTGACTATGTCCTTTGCACTCATAGGCAGGATTAAAGGGTCAGAAGAAAGAACATACAATGATTATGACACTTCCAACGAGAAAAGAAAATGAAAGCAAGGGTTTTATCTTTGCCTCTTTTCTAATTGAAAGCCCAGTGAAAAATATAAAAAAGATATCAACATTCAAATTATCACAAAGGCAAAGGTAATCAAAATTTTGAAACTATAAGAGCACAGACTTGAAGCATTAAGGAGAAGAAGCATGACATGGTGGTTAGAAGCACAGGACTGGAGTCAAATTTTCTAAAACTGTGGCCCAGCTTCCACACTTACCTGGCTGTGAGTTTGGGCAAATTACTTCATTTCTCTAAGTCTCAATTTTCTCATCTGTCTGCTGTATCAGATGATTGTGAGGATAAAATGATAATATACATAATGTGTTTACAACCTTGCCTCACATGCGGTAGTAATTCAATGAATGTTGACTCTAACAGTTATTATATGTGTTAAGGAAAATATTCAACCAATTTAGTTGTGAGCAAGATCAACACATTATTATAATCATGCACCAAAGGAGAAGGCCCATAGTAGGCAATGTCAGAAATATTTTCTGGGAAGAGATAATGGTGAAAATATCATTGTTAAGTACAAAATGGGGTTGGGGAGGCTGCTTAAAAGTCTCTGAAATCTTTCCTGACAATCAGTCAATTGGATGAGTGAGTCATAAATTTCCTGGACTAGATCTGCATCCCATTAACATTCAGTGGAAATTTGCATCTACTTTTTTTTTTTTTGCCTCAAAATAAAGTAGTGGATTTTTATCACATGGAAAAATTCTGCCCTGGACAAGATTTGGGACAGTTTTTCCATGTCAGGAGAGAGGTATACTAAAACATTAGACTCCCTCTCTACTCTCTTGGAAGTTTTCTATAAAGAGGGATGGTGATGGTGATGATGACTAATATGAGCATCCTAAAATTATAAGAGTGAAGCCTCCCTCCCATAATAGACTATGTTTATCAGATTTGGTCATACGACATGACAAGAGGCAGTATAAAAGGGACATTTCATTCATAGTAAAGAATTCAGTGATATCATGGAAAGAGTTGAGTCTGAACCAGGCACACTTAAGCCAAATCTGGGTTTGGCCAAGTTACTTAACCTTTATTAGTCTCACTTTACTTACCTGGAAAATAGGGATGATGGTATCCATGTTGTAGAGTCATAGTGTGGACAAGGTAAGACTAAATATTTCAATTTCACAATGTACTGCTGATGCATAATATAAACTCAAGATAGTATTAATTTTCCCTTTTTCTCCTCCTCATTCCTCTCTACCCACATCCCCTACCATAGCCAGGAATCTTCAGCTTTTGATCTCAAATACTGCCCTCCAAGTCTCTAAGCTAGATGCCACACACCCCCACTTCCTACTTTGATTAGGAATTCTCAAGACAGGAGTGAAGTTAGCAGCAATAGTCTCTCCCATACACTCCAAATAGACACACTTATCACAACAACCTTAAGCTGCATGTCAAGAGTATTGCCCTCTGCAGATCCCAATGAGCCCAGTCATCAGAGGCTCTAGAACATGGGTGAATTCTGGATATGGCTTGGATAACAGCCCTCTCCTTCAGCCCTTGGGTCATGCTTTGAAATCTGGTCTTATGTCCACAGTGTAAATGGCTTCATCAGCTTCTGTCATGGGTATAGAAGACGGGGTGGTGAAGGAGTTATTTATTGGAAATAGCCAATCCACTGTGCTCAATGGCAGAATAAGCCTTTATTGAATATTCATTCTGAATTTGAATTATATCCAAGAAGGGGATGAAATACAGACTCCATTCCTATTAACTTTCATAGCCAATTTAAAGGCGGAACTGCCCTTCCATGTCTCATTCTCTGTTACTCCTTCATATTGTTGCACAGAATGGAATCTCAATAATTACTGGAAAATGATTAGTGGAAAGTTCTCTTTAGACAATGTAATACGTACTCCAAAGATATGATTCTTATCAGACCAAAACATTTATGATGAAGTATCTGAGCACTGAGAAATGTCATCTATCCTGTGAGGAAGGATAATAAAGCATGTGCATTGTTGAAATTAGAGATTCAATCAATAAAATGAGACTCGATAAAGAAAAACAAAGTGGTTTCCTTATGAACAGATATGCAGCAAGCTGACAATTGGGATTATTGGTCTGGCTGAACACAAGAAGTCATTAATGGTTTGGAAATCCACAGGGGGCCTGCCTAAAAACAAACAGACCATGGCAAGTTGGGCTGGGGATGCAGGAATCTTACCCTAAGGCTAAGAAGACATATGTTGATTACTGTGATTTGGCCTTCACTAAGCACAAACCTAGTGGGGATACTAAGCATATTCTTCTTCAAGTTCCAAATTTCAAAATCAATGCAAAATAATCAAAGAAGTTTCAGAGAAAAATGAGAACTATTACATTTTGAAAAATAAGCCTTATGAGAAAATACAGTTAAGATGGCCCATGTTTGGTTTGTAAGAAAAGAGACTAAAGGGAGCCATAAGTCTTTAAGTGTGTGAAGTTATGTTGCAAAGAGGGCGAAAATGATTTATTCTCTCTATGCCCAGTGGAGAGCTAAAAAAATAAAGGCATAGTGCGGACATTACTTCATGAGCCCTGATGAATCTCTACAATAGGCAGTGAGGACAATCACTGGCATGGACTGCCCCTCCTCCTTGGTCTAGGGTTGGCCTTTATTCAATGTATTACTTAGAAGCTTTGCTTTCCCCACCAGCATAAACAAAAATGACCCCACAGAAAGCTTGGGTAGAGGAACCAATTCTCACCTAGAAGATATCAAAATTAAAATATTATATTTTAGGAAAAATCAATATGATGGGGGGGGGGGAATGTGCTGTTACTATCGTGTCAGTTCCCTGCTGTTTCTGTGTATGTGATTTGGCAAGGTCTTTAGGAGCTGGGTAAGTGGGGATGTCTATCCTCCCAGAAGTGTGCACACTTTAATTTGGTTTACATATCAAAATCATAGGCCTGGAAACTATAAGCTGTACTGAGAAGAGAAGAAGGGACCTCTTATAGAATGCAAGGCAGGATGACTTTTTTCCAGATCTTCCAACAGCTCCCCGGCATCCCCTAAACAAAGCCATGAACATTTTAACAAAGACCTGATGGCTTTTCTCCAGCATCTTGAGCCAGCTCTCCAGATCCTGGCCTCCTCCCTCACCCTGAGAAAATCTCTTCTGTTCTGTGTCCCCATTCTCTGACCCCATTCATTGCCTTACACCTTATTATAGACAGAAGCGAGGCATGCATCTGAATATGAGAGGGGGACACCCCAAAGATGTTAACTTGGTAGTGATAAAAAAAAATTCTGCAATCTAAAAACTCCATGTATATTTATTTTCTAGGCAAGGAGCATATCAGAATGTGGGCAGACCTGAGATAGAGTCATAGCCACATGGGAAGAAGTCATAGCCACATGGGAAGAAAAAAACTAAAAGAAACCAGGAAGCTCTTGGGCTGACCCAGAGATGGTCACATGGTCAAGTTGGGCAAGGGTAGAAGTTAAACAGGGGTCCTGGGACTCCTTGGCCTACCAAAATCTGAGAAAGAGGAAACCACAACAGAAACTAGAGAATTGGTGTTAGCCACTTAGGGAACAAAACAAATGCTTAGTTAGTCAGAGGTCAAAGCAGCGGTGAGAAAATTTGAGGTAAGAAAAGAAAATTTGAGGTAAACTAAGAACACAGAAGCCAGAAAAGAGGTTGGAGTAAGAAGTTCTCATCAGCCCAAGCAATTAAGGGGCCAGAGCCCAGGAAAATAAACAAAAAGCAGTGACTGTCATGGTACATAAC